TAATCGGCAACGTGAGCATGATTTTTGTCATTAGAAGTGACTCAAAACTGCACACGCCAATGTACTTTTTCCTCAGTCATCTCTCCTTCGTAGATCTCTGTTATACCACCAATATCACTCCACAGATGCTTGTTAATTTCTTATCCAAGAGGAAAACTATTTCTTTCATAGGTTGTTTCATCCAATTCCATCTTTTTATTGCCCTGGTGGTGACAGAATATTATGTACTGACAGCAATGGCTTATGACCGCTACATGGCCATCTGTAAACCCTTGTTATATGGCAGCAAAATGTCCAAAAATGTCTGCCTCTCTCTTGTCATTGTTCCCTATATCTATGGCTTTGCAAATGGGCTAGGACAGACCATACTGATGCTACGCCTGACCTTCTGTGGGCCCAATGAGGTCAACCACTTCTACTGTGCGGACCCACCTCTCTTAGTCCTGGCCTGCTCAGATACCTACGTCAAAGAAACTGCCATGTTTGTAGGAGCTGGATCCAACCTCACCTGCTCTCTCACCATCATCCTCATCTCCTATATTTTCATCTTCGCCGCCATCCTGCGCATCCGCTCCGCTGAGGGGAGGCGCAAAGCCTTTTCTACCTGCGGGTCCCATCTCACGGCTGTTATCATCTTTTATGGGTCTCTCTTCTGCATGTATCTGAGGCCATCGTCAGAGACATCTGTACAGCAGGGGAAAATCATAGCTGTTTTTTACATTTTTTTGAGTCCTATGCTAAACCCTTTGATTTATAGTCTGAGGAACAAAGACGTTAAAACAGCAGTAAGAAAAATTGTCCAACAAAAATGTTTCTTAAATAAGGGAGATGTGTGAGACACAAGTATCTAATGTACTTTTTTATTATCTCTCTTGATTAATGAGTGTTTTTAATTGGGCAAACGCTTTCTATCACATTGTCATGTTTTTCTTGCTTATTTCACCAAAGGAGCTTGGAAGAAAATCAAATGATTTGCTAAACTTGACACTGCTGGGTCACTTAAACACACATACACAAACATACATCATCATCAACAACAACAAGACTACTTAGAAATTGGAAAACAATGACCAGGAGATAATGTCATTACTGTATTAAAAATTGGTAAACTGATGACTGATAGCTGATCATACTAAAACTCTTATATGTGATGAAAGAGAGAATCACCACATGTTGCTTCAATGACATAGACCTGGATAGTATCTTGAGTTTCTAGACCAGTCAGGGTCTCCTGGGGGGGAGGGGGGGAACCAACCCAAAATAAAATACCTGGCAATTTGCTTCTGAAAAACTAGCTACTTAGAAGTCTGTGGAGCATAATTCCCTTGGACACATATGAAACCCTCAGGATCTTGAAAACAACTGCTAAGAACTGTTTCTTTTAACTGCAAGACAATAACATTTCTTTATATTACTATTGTACTTAATAATAGTAAACTCCTCTCTCATACAAATTATACACAATTTTTTTGCATACGTATGGGAATGTTCTGTAAGAAACATACATGGAATGATAGCCTTAGTTGCATGGAACTCTTATCTATAATAACTTTGATGAAGGTGCCAAATTCCTTTAAAATGTTTGGTTTATTCTCTTTCTTTTCAAACCCATATGCTGCTACACATTGTGTGATCTCTTCCACTCATTCCCTATCATCATGTAATCTATAAAAAGCAGTTCTCCTTCTAATCATTTTAATATGTAATTGGATACATATATAGGCATGCTGCTGTTACTAGGTGTCATTCAGTGGTCTCCAAACTCATGGCTGTAATATAGAAAGCAGAATGAAGCATTACTCAATCATGCATCATCCTCGCAATCAA